CACGTGCGCACACTTGCATGTGTGCATAAAAACAATTAATACACACACCCAAGGTTAGGAACATGCAATAAGACTGAAACGTGCATGCAAACTCACTGACGCCCACTCAGCAGCCTTCCTGTTGGCTGCAAAGGCCATATGTGATAATGGCTTCCTGTATGTTAATGCCGCTGGCCGGAGCGCCTCCTCCTGCTCCTCAGTATTCTGCTCAGGCAGCGCTCACATCATTTTGAATTGCAAAGTGCCAAAAGTGGAACGACGCATTGTTTGTAATGCTATTGGCAGAGTGCATTTAGAAAAAATACAGGAAAAATATCCTGTGGAGTGTTTGAATAGATAATTATGTGTGGCGCTGTGTGTGTGTATGTGAGTGTGTGCATGCGCTGACTGCAGACTGAACAATCTGACTCAGGCAAGTGGAAGACAAGTAGTAATTGTTACTGTAGAGGAGAGAATGGATCAATAAATATAGATTATCTTCTGTCCATTAGGAATAATTGGTGATGTTTCGGTGAGCGATGTGAAGACACATCGACACAAGTGAGCTGGGGATAAAACATAATCGATTTCAAACATAATGCACAGTTTGACAGTTTGGTTTATGTATCACAACTTGATCATCCACAGCTTTGGTTTCTTGGGATTAGTCAATACATTTTTTTTTTCAAATAATCAAATTTGAACCCAAACATAATTTAATCAATGTAATATTATATATATATATATATAGCTATATATATATATATATATAGCTAACAAAAACATTCCATTATTAATTGGCACAAAACAGCGATGTTTACTGGATTGATCGCCAGATATGCACAGGAAACCTCCTTGATCTCTTGACCCTATTATTTCCTTACAAACCACTGCAATATCAATAATTCCTAAAACAAAGTTTTAATAGAACAAATGCCAAGAGGCTGCAGTATGCCCCCATATACCCCTATTTCCTTATATCCATCTCTAACTTATCAAACCATTTCCCCCTCCTAGCCAGACGAATAAAGACTGCTCAAGATAAGACAACATGTAATACACAAAAAGAAAATAAATCAATATTACCAGCACTGTCAGCAATTACAAGTACATATCATAATGCCATGGTTTAGAAAAAGTAATAAAAATAGGATCAACAAAACAAACAAAAAATTGCTTTCCGAGAGACCTATTTTCTTGGAGGGAATAAAATACAAGCAAAGAATTTCTGGCTCCCTCAACCTAGAAAACATTTCTCTCTAAAAATATGTGAGAATGGTTAAAAACATTTTTTTCCTGGCGCAAGATTGTCTTTCTTGTCAGGATGTGTGTTTGCTGTGGAGTGAAGGAATGGTGAATATGTGAGGCAGCAGCAGTTGCAGTGAAGTGCAGCTTGTGATCATTGGCCAGGATGCAGTCTATCAGGGACAAGCCGAGGCGCGACACACAACATGGCTTGTGCAACAGTGACATCTGTAGGTTTGTCCTTTGCCGGTGGAGCAGACGCCGTGAGTCAGAGCAGCCTGCAGGCCAGCCACACTACTGTCAATACAGATGAGGATCACATGTGAACACTGTAAACATTCATACTAGTCAAAGTCTGTTCAATTGTACTTTGAATTTTCAGACTTTAGACACAAGTTGTTCTGAATTGAGGTCTTTTGACTCCAATGCTAGAAGCCACATTCATTCATTCACCTCCATTCACACACATTCACAACCATTCATACAGAGCTGCAGCATGCTGCATTTTTTACCATTCACACTGTGCCAGCACAACCATCAGGGGACATTTAAGGTTCAGTATCTTACCCGTGGACACTTTGGCAAGTGGAATGGAGAATCGAACCACCGACCTTCTGGTAAGTGGACAACCTGCTCTAGGTCCTGAGCTAGAGAATTAGTTAATAACTGAATAAATAAAATTCAGTAAATGAAAAGAAACCAATTTTACTTGCGAGTTCAAACTCCAGAGTGAAGAGAACAGACATGATGCAAACTTACTGTGTGTCTTAAACACGTGAAGAACACTTGTCATACTAAAATTCATCACTGTCAGTATTAAATTCAGTACAAGATATTTTTGAAATATTATAGTAACTGGAGTTTTTGAACTTATAGAACAACTTTCTCTGGGCCTAGAATCAGGAATCAATCAATCAAATTTCATTTGTATAGCCCATATTCGCTTATCACTATTTCGAGTAATTTTGAGTAAGGAAAAACTACAAAAATCATTCAACAGTGGAAGAAAAATGTAGAAACATTACAGAGAGTTGCAAGTGAAGACCATCCCTCAGAACCGAAGTGCAATAGATGGTGCATGTGACAGAGCAAATCAATAAAGTAACAAGGTAAGACAGTGTCTAACAAGGAAAACAAAACAAGATACACACTGAAAGGAGAAAGTAACTACCAAAAAGTCAAACAAATTATTTATCACTTCCTCTTTAGCAATTTATCTTCAAGGAAAAGCACAGAGTTCATTTTGTTGCTGGAATGCTTTATTTTGAGATAAATTGGAGATTATATTTTTAAAAGTTATCAATTTGGGTCTGAAATTTGTGTTGCTTGCTTCACAGGCCTCTTAAATAGCTGACATGCAATGCAATAAAACAACAACACTAGTTATCTAAATCATTAAAACGTACACAACTGGAGTCTGACTCGAATAAGTAACAAGCTAAATCTTTACGGTACCATGGTTATTGAAGAATACAGTGCTCTTGTAGGTAGCTCAGTGTAACTTGGCTCACCCTCTGGAGGTATTTTGTTGAGGCTGATCTCCTTGCATCCTTTGATGGCTCCCATTGACCTGTGGGATACCCAGGTACCCCTTGCAGCCCTGTATGTCCATTATTCTGCCTTGTGTTAGTGTAGTCCTCATCAACCTCCCTGTCTCTGCCACCATGCGACACACATACAGTCCAAAGGACATCCAGGTGTAAGCTGGATCAGTGAATTAATGTCTCGTTCATTCTTGGGGTTCAGTTTGATGGTCACTCCTCTTCTGAGTCGATCACCATATCCATTCTTTTCAGTGATCTAGCCGAAGCAGCTTTTCATGTTTATTGTTCCCTCGCAGCTGGTAGTACTTAGTTTATGCTTTCTTTGGAGACAGGTATTCTCTTTGTCTCATTTTCTCGGGCGTATCTCTGTAACCTAGCTGTGAGTTTTTGCTTGGCAGTCTCCAGAGCCTCACATATTCACATCTTGCTGTACTTGTTTTCCATCCAGGACCTGTCTCTTATGAGACCTTTCTCCCAACTGAAACCCTCTGTAATACCCTCCACCGCATGCTTGCATGTTGCATTCTTGATATTATCCCCTGGCAACACCAGGATTGATGATGTGGTGGTCTATGTTCACTGCTATGATGTGATAGTGGGGAAAGTGAGTATTGCCTTAACATCTGCTAAGCTAATATCTTTTCATTCATCCTCAACTGAGTGGATGCAGCTTTCGTGATTGGTGGTGGGGTACCATCTTATCCTGCTCTCCTCTCCTGGGGTCGGCTCAGTACCTCCATGCTGCTTAGTAGTGTCCCTAAGGGGAAATGGGATGGTATTGTTATATGGTTTAAATCTTTTGTCATGCATGAGAACTTAATGAAACTGTTTTTATTTTGTATTATAGTATTTTGTAACCCTTTGTCATTGGTGCCACTTCATATATGCTAAACTAAATTACAAAAAAAACAACACTTACATTTTTTAATTGTAATGGACAGTATCCAAACACGTGAATCTAACTTTGAACTAATTTGATTTCATTGCATCTAAAACCGTGCAGAGCAGGCTAACTGTACATGATATATGTGATGTAATTTACTCAGTGCACATATGAAAATAGGAATTAGTGTCTTTGATGAGCATTTCATTTGATTTTGAATGTCAGTCAATCTTCTGTTTCTTTTCCCCTGTTTTTTTTAAATCTGCCCAGTAAAACTCACTTCTGCAGTTTTTACACCACACCGGGAATATGAGGACTCATTATCCCTTCTGAAAAGAGACATATTGTCTGCTGGTCTGTCTTTCACACAATGGTGTCATCTCAGTTTCATGCTTATTCCTTTTCCATTGTTATTTTACTTTTTCACCCAGGAGGTCATCTCCACTATGGATTCCTTTCAGTGGGTTGAGTCCTGTGGAAAACAAGTCCTGCAGCCTGCAGCCTACAGCCTGCAGCCTGCAGCCGGCCCTGCTGGTCAGTCTCTCCCACATGAATTTCACAGGGAGTGATTTCTGCACTGATCCTTCCGCATCTGCGCGCTCAGGATTTCACATGAATCAAGAGCAACAACATCACCAACAATACACCAGAAGTAGTTTTATTTTTTGTGAAAATAAAAGCATAACTTTAAACCATCAAAGAACCTGCCTCAAGTTCAACCAAATATAATCAATAGTTATGATTGAGTATCTTTTCTTAGAGCAGATCCCCTTAAATCCACACTGACACCAGACCTTTAACTATCGCTTACTGCAGATCGATCCCTCAAACCACACCACATTCACTTTATAATGTAACACACTTCACATGAACTACTGTGTCACTCTGACATCACATTAGCCTATCAAATGCAATAATACATTCTACTGTACAATAATACACTCCTCTACTGGAAATTTTAAATGAACTAGTGAATATGCAAATTTAAACACATAATTCTGTGATGCAGTTTTTTTTTATTGCAAATAAAATGCTGTGGAAAACAACATGGTGTCCTGTAATGGTTCTTCAGGTGAGACAAAAAGATTGTCAAGAGGTAGCTGTGTCAACATAAACTTTTAAACAGATAGTTTTAAAATAGTTTAAACAGATAGTCCTGGCATTTTGTAAATACAAATAAATACAAAAAAACTGATGCATCTATTTTCTACAATAAAAACGTGTGTTTACATTAGTGGTATCCCATTACAAGAACCTGAACGACAGAAACAAACGAGACAAATCATTGTTGTGACTCATGAGTCGTTACACTCGGATCGGCTGGAGCGGTGCGGCTTTTATTTTGAAGTGCCGCAGAGGAAGTGCTGCCCTCAGTCTCCCCCCCCGGGTGTTTCCGCTGCTCTGAAGTTGTGGTACTTTTCTCTCAGGTCTGTCCGATGAGTTCACTTGATCTAGAAAGTTTGCGAGTGCGATGAGCGGACAGACGGTCCCCGCGGACTTCTCCGGACACATGTTGGACCTGGACGAGGACGAAGACCTGGAGGTTTTCAGCAAGGTAAACACACCAACTCAACACAGCCCCCGAGAGCTCCGGGACTCGCAGATTGTTCCACTGGCTTCGATGCTACGTGGATTCTTCCCCGTCGTTGACGCACAGCTTTAACTTCAGCATGGAGAAGATTAGAAGTTTCTTCACTGTGTGTGTGTTTGTGTGTGTGTGTGGAAAGTTTCCACGTATCGTCACGTAGAGAAGGACGGAAACCACAGGTCCTGGATCAGCTGATGAGCTGACCTTAGGACCCGAGTGTCCTGTCTGCTTATTACTGTGAAGCGCCTATATAGAGAGACCGACACCAAACTCCACTCAGTTTTTCAACAGTTTTCTGTTTATTTGACATGTAACTTCTTTCCACGAGTAGAAACCCACTGAAAAGTACAACGACCAGTGTTTAGCGTTTCCTTTTCACTCCGGCTGTAGTTGTATTTAACTCTTCACCCAGGTTTACCTGTCAAGCTAATGGATTTGAACCTGGATCCCCAGCTCAGATGGTTGGATGAATGGGTGGTTGCTGGTAGATGATGTAGCTGCAGAATTGAAATGATGTAATACATCTTTTGAAAGGTGTTTCATATGTCAACTATAATGGATGTCATTGCTGTCATCATTATTGCATTATACTAAATGCAGGTAAAAATGAAATTTGAAGGTAGCCAGTAATCCACTTGAACAAGTAATAAGCCATTTTCCCACCAGTGGCTTCATATTTATGTATTTAAGTTCAGCAGACGATGAATCAACAAGTTGTTAAGAAGTTGGAACGGATGCTTTAGTCTATGAATTGGATATTACAGATTCTACTTATATCTACTAGGAATACAGTGTGATAATCAGTGATGTATGAACATAGTGTGAGGGCTTTAGAACAGTTGCAGGATAAGGGTGAATGGTTTTATTCAGAGTAGTTCTTTGGTGTTTCTTCTGAGCGCGATTTAGGTCAAACTGTGAACAAAAGGAGGTCTCAAACAAATCTTGATCAAGACTTGGTCCCAAATCAAAACCCCACTGGCTCCAAGATCAGGTACAGGGTCACAGTCCTCATGGGTGGATCATAGATAGAGTCTGAAAAACAATGGACAAGTAAAACAAAGCTCCTGTCTTTTGACTTGGAATCCTCATTTCGCAGATAGAACTGCGAGTTAAAGAGTTAATAGCAACTACTTTGATAATCAATCAGTCATTTCAAGTATTTGCATTTAGGTTTTTCCAAATTGGACTGCTGCTGTTATTTTTAAATATTACAGTTATTTTTAATTACACTTAACAATAAAGTGTTTAATTTAGCAATTTAATTAACATCCTCATTTATATTGAAAATAAGTGTTACTTGCGGCCTTCGTCATATTGTGGCAACTTCTATGTAATAATTAAAAAAGCAGTTTAGTTCACCAGTTCTCACAGCGTTTATCACAGAAGTGCAATATAGTACAAAAATGGACTTGTGGTCATGGCAGGAATGAGTAATATGTAATATTTCCAGATTTTCCATTGTCTATAATCATCCAAATTATTTTTACACTTCTCATAATAACATAAGAGATTTCTAACTCAGTGTATTTAGCGCTATTTGCAGCTACTATTTGCCGCATGTTTGCACTATGATCCATAATGTTTTACTGTCCAAGCAGACAGTCAGACTCATCGCTTCACTTACAGTTTTGGCATCAGTGCAGTTCTTTCTCTCAAGTGAGCTCTTTTAAGAGTATTTAACGATTTGATTTTAACCACTGATTCAGGAGACTGCTGTCCTAGTGCTCGTAGATCTGACAGCTGCTTTCGACACCGCCGATCAAGCAATCCTGTGGGGATTAAAGGTGCAGCACTCGGGTGGTTACAGTCATACTTAACAGATAGGAGTTTCTCCACCTGTGTGACTACTGCTCTGGGACAGCCCCACTTACATGTGGTATACCTCAAGGTATGTCTCTTTCCACTGCTTTGCGGATGACATACTTGCCCCTTAACCTTAAAACTAAAACTTCACTGCAGCCCCTGCTCTACTGCCTAAATGACATCAAATTATGGATGAATTCAAACTTCCTCAAATTAAATGGTAATAAGATTGAGGTTATTGTATTTGGACACTCTGAACTGCTGGATGTGAGCACCCTTGGCCCTCTCGCTCCTAATATTCACTCCACCGTAAAGAGTCTCGGTGTCCATTTTGACAGGTTTTTTAAATTTGAGCAGCAAATTTCCTCAGTTGTCAGGTGTGACTTCTTTCAACTAAGACTAAGTAAAGGCCTATCTTCCACAAAAGGATCTCGAGAGGGTTATCCATGGCTTCATAACCTCTCGACTCGACTACTGCAATTCCCTGTATGTAGGCTTAGATCTAGCCTTCATTAAATGCTTGCAGCTTGTCAAAAATGCTGCTGCTCGCCTCCTGACCAAGAAAAAAAACAGAGAACATATCACACCTGTGTTGAACTCCCTCCACTGGCTTCCTGTTCGTCACTGGATCGATTTTAAAATTTTACTGTGATTTAAAAGTTAAATTTTTTAACGGACTGGTACCGCCTTACTAAGCCAAACTTCTCCATACACACACTCCAGTTAGGGAGCAAGACTCATAACCAAAGGTGATCGCGCCTTCGCTGTAGCTGCCCCAAACTTATGGAACAATTTACCACTCCACATTAGATCTGCCTCCTCTCTTTCACTTCTAATCACTACTCAAAAACGTATCTGTTCTTCTTGGCTTTCTCCTTGAGTTGAGTAAGTTTTTATCCCAGCTGATAATGTTTTATTTTATTATATATCTCATATTTCAGTTTCTTTTAATTTTTACTTATTCTACTTTCTCTCTTATTCTATTTTATTCTGATGTATTGCGTCTTACTTTCCTCTTGTTGTACTTTTTATTTGTGAGGCTCTTTGGTCAACCAAGTTGTTTTGAATGTGCTATATAAATAAAATCGACATTGACATTGACAAGTGAAAACTTCTCTTTCACTCTTCAGCTTGTGTACCTGTCGCTCCAAATGTGTTTCTTTCATGACATCAATTATTTTTTATGTTTAATCAATCAGTCAAATTTTATTTGTATAGCCCATATTCACAAATCACAATTTGTCTCATATGATTTGAACAAGGTGTGACATCTTCTCCCTTTAACCCTCAACAAGAGTAAGGGAAAACTACTGAAACAAACCTTTTAACAGGCGTAAATTATGCCATTGAACTAGCTGTGGTAGTAGATTATTGTTGACTAACATGGGGCTGGGTGATATGACCAACAACGTTATCAAGATAAAACATTTTCCTATCAGTTAATTATTTGAATAAATGTCACGTTATCATTTCTAAAGAGGGATTTTTGCTCCTTAGTCAGGGTTGCAGTTTCAAACTATTGTTTTTGGGCAGGTAATGACTTGTTAAACAGAAAAACATTTTACAAGTCTGAAGTAGATCAACTATGTATTATACCTCCTCACTTCAGTTGCACAATGCATGAGCAATATATTGACCTATTATGAAATTTTGTTATATTGCTATTGATGAAAATTATACTGTCAGTTTAGTCACTTCTTGTTGAATACCCATTCGCTCACAGATGAGCAACTGTCATTTCAGACAAGCATCATAGGGACTAACCAGTAAAGAAAAGTAGCTGCAGAATATTGTTCCATCAAAATAATTGACACGTACATTTTATTTGTAGACCAGTATGTCTACTAATGATTAACAAAAAGAGAAGCTCAAATGCTTTTGGTTTAAGTAAATGCTCTTGTCATGGGTGTCCTGCAAGCAGCTTTCAAAAGACCACTTTCTGATTTGTGGTGAGCAAGCTAATTGGTAAGATGCTGAAACCTCATTCAGAAGGAGAATTGTGTAGAAGCTTTGTTGCTGCAGTGGAGCTGCTTTTGCTGTTCAAAGTCAAATTGTACATTATGTGCGAACACGATGCATGTTCCTGCTCTGCAAGAACAAACACCTGCTTGACATCTGAATATACAGGGGAAAAGACAAAACCTCTTCAGGTATTTGACGAGAGGTGTTAGTACATTGAAGGTTAACATGAGAAAGGGACAATATTTGTTAAGCTATCAAATGTGGAAGGAATTTCTTTTGCCACTAGCAAAAAAAGTTAGGGTCAATATTTGTAATCATTTGCATGTTAGCAAAATGAAAATAGGTTACGTGATCTAGTGCTGCGCATTCAGTCAACATGCACATCACAGTCTTTGGGCAGGTAGTCTTTGTAAAACACATCAGCAGGCAGTGTGTCACTCACCCCGGTGGTTGGGGTCCTGATTGGAGCTGGAGTGTTTTGATGTATGAAGCACTGAAACCTTTTTCTAGAGACATGCTTTCTGCACTCTGTAACACCCATTCTTTAGTTCTAATCTTAAACCTTAAAGTCCTGGGCTGTGGTCGAAAAGTCAAAAAATCTCCTTTCTTAACCACTGATCCTCAACTCCGATGGAAATCTCATGAGGCCAAGAAAGAAGTTCGGAGAACTGCGGTTAGATGGAAGATATTTACAATGATAAACTCGCTGCTGCATTTGTGGTCTTTTTTTACTTAGCAATCTTCTGTTCTTGAAAATGTTAATATAAACTACTGACCTCAGGTAACTTTGACAATCACAAATTATCTGCTCTTTTAAGATTTGTGGGTGCAGGGGATATGGTATATCTTTGTGACGATACAGTCGTTGCCTAGCAAGAGAAGCATAATGAAAATATGTTTTTTTAAAACATATAGAAATTACTGCTTCCCCCTCGCCTCAGACTGTTTCCATAACAACCACTTAATCCTATACACAAAGATGTTGGCCATGGTTACTCTTGAATATCATTTGGAAAAATGTATTTGTTTTCAGTAAAGGTCAACATGTTTCTGCATTTCCAATGACACAGATGAGACAGAGAGAGAAATCCCTGGTGCATATGAACGATCACATGATAACCAAGTTATCAGAGAGGAAAAAAAGTCACGATGTGTTTGTCATTGTGGAGGGAGGCAGGACTGTGGGCCCTCTGCTGACCTCAGCAGCTTCGTAGCTGTTGTTACAGGAAACAGGCCTGCAGGCAGTTCACTCTTATTCACCACTGTTTGTGAAAACTGTATCATTTGAGTGTGTCTACATAAAGTCCGGTGTTTACAAGGAGATCTGAATAACAATTAGGATTCCATTGATTAATCTAGCAATTATCTTTTAACATTTATTCAATCTTTAAATGTTTTAATCTAAAACTCTTCCTGAAAAAAAAAAGACATTTTAAATTAAAATTTATGCTAACTATTGCACAAAGTAAGATTTTTAGTTTATTGTTAATAGTAGCGGGTAGAACTGAATACATATTGAGTGAGTTTTTCTGTGTGTGAGTGTGTGTGCATATTTCTGTGTCACATCGACCGTAACATTGTGCGAAGGCCATGTGTGTGGGAGGTTCTGTACTGTTTTCACAGAAAACAAGTAGATTTCAGGCTCTACAAATATCTTAAAATTGTGTTTGCTTTTGTCCAAATTTGAAATGCCTCAATTTGACCCACACATCACACAAAGCACAAGGGTTAAGTTACTGGTGACGGATGTGTGCATTAAGCTTTCATCATGTGAAATGAGTGCTGTCGCTGCTGTCACCTTTGCCCTTGTTACAATTTCTTGCTTGGAACATTCTAATCTACAATAAAAGCTTACTCTCACAGTGGGATCAGAGTTTCTGTCTGAGGTGAATAAAGTCAGTGTGTGACGTAGTAGATTTAGCATGTGTAGATTAATACAGTTATACAGCACATCTGTTTGTGAGTTTTTTTTGTTTTGCCTCATTCAAAGTCTTGCTCCACACAACATCTGCATAGGTTTGCAAATTGAAAATGAGCCAAAAGGGTCCAGGTGGCTTGCAGAGTCAGCAGTCAACTGGGTGCACTATCCTTATTTCTGAAAGTTGTAATAGTCACAGTAATCTAAAAATATACTCTAATCAGCCACTTACTTTGACAAGTACCTGACAAGTTATAATTGTGGCCTTCATGTTCATCTGAATGGACAATTATCCAATTTTCAAAATAGAAACATCTGGGAAGGACCAACGCTCGGCCTGAGTGAGTTTTCAAGGTGTGCTTTGGCTGTGGGTTAAACCTGAAATGCTAATTAAGAATACAGCAATCATAGCACAAATATACAAGGGCAATGCCTTCCTATCAATAATATTTGACTGGACGACTTCTCCACAGTGTAATTGGTAAAGAGACAGGTGGCCATTCCTGATTGTGTCTAACTAATGTGTGAGTTTCATCAGAAAAAACTGAAATTGTATTTGATTTTGACAAAAAGGGTGAACTATCTAGATTTAACATTGTCAGTGAAGCCAGGACCAATAGCCAATCAGTGTGGACAGAAGATCTGAATTCCTTCCCTTCATGTAAATATATTGGCAAATCATATAAATGTAATATACAGTAGATAATTTGCTGTGGCTGAGGGGTAGAGCGGTCCTCCTCCAACCAGAAGGTCGGCAGTTCAATCTCTAGTCTTCCCATCTGCATGCCGAAGTGTCCTTGGGCAAGATGCTGAACCCCGAATTGCCCCAAAGAACAAAAAAAATGCTGCTTATAGATGCTCTGTATCAATGTGTGTGTGAATGGCAAACTGTAGTGTTAAGCACTTTGAGTGGTCATCATGACTAGACAAGTGCTATATAAATACAAACCATTTACCATTTATTCAATTCAATTTTATTTGTATAGTGCCAAATCATAATGTACATAATCTCAATGCACTTTAAATAGAAGGTCAGGATCTTAAAGATTATAGAGAAAGGCAACATTTCCCACAATGAGCAGCACTTAGGCTGGTTGATAGTAAAATGTGATAGCAGTCCTTGTTTTCAAAGCTTTTTGTTGCATTTCTCCTGGCACAGTGAAGGTGGAGCACTTGCCAGCAGTTTGCTGGTATTCTTGTTCATACATGTGTTGTTAGACTGAAAACCTGTTAAACAAGTCGTGCCATATATGTTGAGTCTCTCTTTGAAAACAGTCACGATGTTGATCTTCGTTGTTCACCTGAAAAGGGACTGAGCACTAACCATGTCATTGCCTCACTGGTCCAGAACACATCCCTGGCAGATGGAAGCTCCATGCCCAACTCTCCCAGCTCCATGGTCAACCAGTACAGGCTGGAGGAGGATGAAGAAGAGCAGCAGGACATCAACACCAAAGACATCTTCATCACTGTCGACAACCCAGAGAGCCATGTCACTGCCATCGAGACCTTCATCATGTACAGGGTCCTGACCAAGGTGAGAATGTCGTATATGGCCGTGTACATGCAGTATAGTAGAAGGACTGCATCCATCTGGTGACATACAGTCACTGTTTTTACTTCTTACTCAGAGTAATAGCAACATTTCTATCAACTTTCTTACCTGCTTTCTCTCTGCTGATGTTGAGGACCGATACAGGGGTGTGCTAACCTGTTAGGATCTGCAGGAGATGGAGGTCAGACATGGACAGATACTTTGGGAATGGTTCATTAGAAGCTACAGTTGAGGCAACAAACAATCGGAAGTTTGTGTCTCTTTTGATTGCAAAAGTTTATTAATTACTATGCTATATCTCATAATGACATCATGATCAAGTCTCTCCTACCATATGATCATAATATATAAGGTGTTGGTTAAAAGACTGAGACACTGCTCCCTCTGTTTCCATCTCTTTGTTATCACCACACCAGCACCTTAACATGTTATTACTTTTCTAAGAACAGCAAAAACATTTTAATACTTTGATTGTGTGAAAACCAGAAGATTGACATCGGTCTTGCAGCGTGGTGATTGGTAAGTGATTTGCAGCTTCTTTCTGCAGACTACGCGGAGTGAGTTTGACTCCAGTGAGTATGAGGTACGCCGACGCTACCAGGACTTCTTGTGGCTCAGAAGCAGACTGGAGGAAAACCACCCGACACTCATTGTCCACGTATGTATTAGCCCACCGCATCATCTGCTGAACACATCTGTGGGCTACATCCCAAGTCCACTGGGACAAGACCAGAGCTCATTTACCACAAGTCATACATACTTAATATTACTCTCAGCCATTTTCCAAAGCACTCAGGGTTTTTTTAGAGTTGATCTTTTTTTTTTACTTTTGTATTTTTTTTCTTTTTTTTTTTGGTTACAGTAGAAAATGGCAGATTATCAGCATGATGGTAATTCATCGCTGTAATGGTAGAAGAGTAACTTAGTTGAGGTAAGATACTTTTACAAAATTGAAGTATGTGTGTTACAGAAAGAAAACATTCAATATAGCAGATAAAGTTTCTATCCCCAATCCCATTAGGTCGTAGATTTTTTGGTTGTGTGCTCATTGCATGTCTTTAAAGGTAAGTTTGGTAAGTTGATTCTGAAACACTTTTGTTTCTTATTTGTTGAAATCCCTTTCATGTCCAGATCATGAGCCATCAATTAATGAAATAAAAGAAGAAAGAAAAGAAAAAAAGGCAGTTCCTGTGGCCCTCACAGGACTGTAATAAACACGACCAATCATTTCATTTGGACAGAATGAAACAGTTGGTCGGTGTACCTGTCTGTCACTGACTTTGACCTTTGCACACCCTACACCCACACCCTGCTCTCAGTGTGCATGACTGGAGTTTTCAGTTAGAGAGATTTACATTGCAGAAGCAGCAAGTGATGGAAAAGTTGTCTTCTAGCAGTTGTTAGACAGTGCACGTTCATACAGGTGTAGCTTTGATGAGAGGGCCAATGGAGAGGATGGGATGTATCGGTAGTCTGCGCTTGCTAACCTTTCCAGGATTACTAACCCTTGCTTTATGTTCTTAGGTTTGTGGAGAAGAAATGTGCAGTTTTTATTTTCTGTCAGTTTTTATTATCTCTTCATACATAGCGTGTCAGAAGATCCAACCATTTGGACAGAAGCAAAAATTTATTTATTCCAAGATTCGCTAATGCAAAATAAGAGGTTATTCTTTGGCTTTGGATTTGTTTAACCTTCTGAGCATGGTCTTTTCTGATATAACTCTTTTTATACACCTATACATATGTGATGTAAGGGTGTAAGAATGTTTTGTCTGACATACAATATATATAAAGTGATATTAACTTAGAGTCATGTTTGACAACTAGTATAAAAGATTTAAAAGAAGTTAAGATATATCATTTATGGCAATCTTTTTAAAATCCACACAAAACACATATTGATTGTGTTCACGGTAAAAAAAAAGTAATAGTAATAGTACTTACTGCAACACCACATCATCCAAGTTGTATTCCCTATGTGCAGGAAAGCAAAGAATGTCCCTGAAATGTGTCCCCATCATTACCATCATTGTTTGGCTCTTTGACTCTATTTTGTTCTTTCCACAGCCGCTGCCGGAGAAGTTTGTGATGAAAGGCATGGTGGAACGCTTCAACGACGACTTCATCGAGACCAGGAGGAAAGCTCTGCACCGTTTCCTCAACAAGATCTCTGAGCATCCCGTCCTGTCCTTCAGCCAGCACCTCAATGTCTTCCTCACCGCACAGGTCACACACGCACACATGCACTAAGACAGTCTCTGTGCACATTCAGCAATTAAATGACAACTATTGTCTCTATCATCAAAAGCAGAGGGCTAAAAGCAGCCAGTTCAAGAACCTACTGAGTTAACCTGAAAATATGTTTTTTTTAACGTGTACCATTAGCTGTTCGGTTGAGTTCTTACAGATAAAAAACAATGTCTGATGTTTTCTCCTTGCATTTTGCCGCCCCTACCTTTAAAAACAGATTCTCACAGAAGCGCAATGAATCATGGGATATGTTGGGTCAGGAAGGATCCACCTGGTGGAACATCTGTTGCATGGGGGTGGAAGGACTCCATTTGGAGGAGCCTTGGAATTTGGTCTTGTCACGTTGCTGTGACACAAGCGGTCTTCAAATGCAGCCTCTGAAGGATAAGACCCAAATGGAGACACAGCTTCAGTGATAGCTTTGTTGAGTGCAACCGGAAAGGGGTTACACTGCAAGAACAAACAACCCCTATCACGTAAAAGTACATAAAAGGATCTCAAGTTATTTGTAAAGCCGGTTTCAGTAGAACCAGCTGAAATTCCTGACAACCTAAAACACTGACATCACCAAAGAGAAGCAGTTTCAGCCATCGATATGTAGAGGTTAATTATTAGTGAGATTATTGATATTTCTTCAGTAATTTAGTACGGCTCTTGAAGAATTTTATAAAAAGTTACATAAGCCTTGATAAGAAAAATGTTCCCCAACCCTGCTTATCCCCTCTTAACTCAAAATGGTTCTGACTAGAGCCACGGTTTTGATGAAAGTACCTGGACATTTTAGTCTCAGGAACTACATCATGGCACTCTAAGGTCCCAGCCGACTGCTGTGAAACTGTTATTCTACCATTGTCTAAAGATCAGGGGAGATTAGGTAAATTACTCATTCACGCTCTGCATGTGAATATATTTGACCTTTCTATCTTTCTTTAGAGCAGCCACACACGCACACACTGATACACACAAAAACAGTGTTTCAGACACAGGTGGAAACTCTGACTAGGTAAAAACAGAATTTCTTAATTTAGTCAATGTATAGAGAGCCGGAGGAGATGGCAGGGGGCGCTCGGTTTGGCTCTATGCCGTTGGCCGTGTGCAGCAATATGATACAGAGCAGTACATTACTGACAGAGCCAGTGAACACTGTAAAACTAAATTTTTTTACGGTCCAAACATGTATGGAAGGACTCCAAATGATCACTGTAAATGGACTTAGAGGAGCTGTGCATGGGTCCCTGGGTGTTTGCGGACTCGGTGGTGCTGTTGCTGGGCTGTGCGCCCTCACCCTCGGAGGGGTCCGTGGATTTCAATAAAACCATGTTGTTGAAATGGAAATAATTCATTTTTTTCCAGTGTCTGCATAGGCTACTCACTGTATGGAGTCTATGTCAGCAGCAAACCCAAACCAGACAGACTTGAACACTGTATACCTTTTGTTTATTTATCGCAAGGCATATCATCATTCCGGGCTACGCGGAAAAGGAAATGAGACGGTCTGGTGATTTTATTGCGTCACTAGCTTGCATAGACAAACAAGCTCTGGGGTTGATTGCAAATGTTTTCATCAATAATTCTTCTGACATTTTCACCTCGTTTGCTGCCATCTTTACCTCTTTAAAGACGGGTTGTCACAATGACCAAGAAAGCTTCTCACTCAAAGTGTAAATTGACAATCTGACATTATCGACTAAGCAGTAATAGTTGGTGTATTGCTGGGTGACTCAGGTTATGACTTATTCCCACTGCTTCTAGTCTTATGCTGAGATAGAATAACAACCAGACATTAGATTAAACAAGTAGGGACATTTTGAAGCTGGTTCAACACTGGTAAGCAATTTTATTTAAGCCCTGTATTATGACCTCCCACAGGAGCTGACGTCTCACAGAAAACAGGGTCCAGGTTTCTTGAGCAGGATGGGAGAAACAGTGAGGTCAGTGGCCAACTCAGTACGAGGCCTGAAGAGCCGCCCGGAGGAGTTCACTGTGATGCAGGAGTACGTGGAGGACTTCAGCAACAAGATCTGCTCTGTGGACAAAGTCACCCAGAGGATTATCAAAGAACAGAGAGGTACTGCTGCACACTTATTGAGTACATCATTGAGAATTTAAGGGAAGTGATGAGGGGCTCTGCACTGATTTACTTAGTTAGGGACCATGGTATCAATTAGAAATCAGTTGAGGAAATAAATAAAGAAGAAAATATATATTTTTTAAAACAATACCAAAATGCAAATATAAAATCCATTTACATGATGGAACGACTACTATATATATATACAGAATAAGGTAAAGAAGAGAAAAACATTTCTGACCGTACACATTTGTGTCTCAGTAAAACATCCATCATTCCGTCCACGTAAATAATAATGTTAAACCCATTGTGTTTGGATTTCAACCCAGATAGGACTGAAAAAGTTTGGAACAACTAGAACTGTACAAACACAAACACTGAGATTATAGACAGCCTTTTGTTTTTCTTGTGATTGCAAATAATCCCAGAAAAATATTTCTGTTCAGCACATACAGTAGTTGGAGTGTGAACGAGGTAGTACATCAAAATAGAAAGAAACCAAATCTTTTTAGAGGCGCTGGATTTATTTACACACTATTATTATATTTGCATTATTAATACAACATAACATTTGTTTAAATGTCCTCTGTGCTTCCAGAGTATGTGGATGAGCTGAAGCAGTATGGCCCTGTGTATGTCCAGTGGGCAGGGTTAGAGGGGGACTTGGGGGAACCCTTGAAGGCCGTGGCCAGCTGTGTGGAACACTGCAGCAAGGAAACAGAAGAGCACACCCACCATCTGTCTGAGGTCCTGGCCCCTGCCCTGCACGAGTACATGCTGTGTGCTGAGACACTGAAGGTGAGGTCAGACCACACTGCTCACATCTGAAACCCAGCTCACAAAGGGAGGGAGGAGACTAATGACATCATTTACCAAAGGATGCACAGTAGTTCTTCATGTGTGAGTGGGGACTGTACGAATAAGACTTGTCATGTTCATCAAAGCTAGGAATACACAGATTCATGCAGTGAAGCACGGTAAATCACCTGCTCCACATCCATCTGCTTGTGCATGTGAAGGCTCATTTGATAAATCAACACCTGTCATGTTTAGTTAAATTGTCAACCTCTCACTAGCCCAACAAGTCATCAGCATGCTGTCATCCTCACAGTGAATTCGAACTAAACAAAAACCAGAACAGAAGCTAATCTTAATGCTATTAAGATTAGAGCGACTAGAAAATGCATTGTGTTTTTGGATTGTCTGTCTATTTGTTTGTGTCATTGTCATGAGCACGATATCTCATGAATTCCTTGAAGGAATTTCTTAAAATTTGCTTCAGATATTTACATGGACTCAAGGACGAAGTGATTAGAGTATGGTGGTCAAAAGTCAAGGTTACAGTGACTTAACGAAGCCCAGTTTTTGCCTTGTGAAGGTGATAACTCTTGAACACCATCAAGGAGTCCTTAAACATTTGGCACAAACATTCACTTGGACCTGAGATTAGATCACTTAATTTTGGTGGTCAAAGGTCTAGAGGTAACAAATGCGTGGACTAGTTTCTCAGCATCCTTCTGATGTGTCTTTGTTTTTCATTGTCATTCCCTGCACACTGTGACTGATGTTTCTACACCCCCCAGCATGTGAGCTGCATATACAGTAGATCCAACAGTGTAACTGCCACTGTTTTCAGACATGAACTCCGGAGGATGTCTGTAGAATTGGGTCCAGATTTTGCCTTTCACACATCTACAACGCAGCAGGAGATTGACTGGTCAGACGTGGACGCAACATTCCTTTGCAGAAATCATGTGTTTTTGTTCAAAGCTCTCTTGACATCTTCCCTAGTGTCTTCTAAGTGTGTGACACTGCTTTTTTCATCATGAGATATTTGTAATCTTTTTTTTTTCAGTTTTGTAGTTTGCAGCCTATTAGACAACAACACACCCACTCGATTAGTATATCTTGCAAAGGATCTCACATCAGCTCCTTTTTACTGAAGGTTTTAATCTTTACTTGAGGACTGGCCGACAAACTCTGCAGAAAGTCTGGATGCCCTCACTTGGACATTCATGTTCATACATACAACCCACGAGAGAATTACTGCAGGTCGGTGCATGTCTGTTAACAGCTGTAGAGTCACACACTACTGTGTGATGGCATTGAAAATCTCCTGAAGATATTTGAATAATTGGGATGAGAACAAGACTTCCAGGCCATTCACTGACATTGTTCATTGTTCAGTTCCTTTTAGCACCATTGAAAGTGATGTAAGAGAGCTTTTAATAGATGTTTCTGTAAATATTAGCAATATTCAGACTCACCAAGATAGATGCAAAAGTTTTATCAGTAATGTTTTACCTGTATTTTCTAGACTGTGATGAGACGCAGAGACAACATCCAGGCTGAGTTTGAAGCCAAGAATGAGGCTCTGGCTTCCAGAAAAGGTGAACAAGAAGAAGTAAGTATGATTTCCCATCCTCACACACAGAAAATCTGAAGCACACAACATCCCACCACCCCCCTTCCCCCTCTGCGTCCCTCAGAGTCAGCCGAGGTGTGTGTGTCCTCCAGTCATTTTCCCAGAGATTAGGTGTAATAAAGTGAAGCATGGAGTGGGGGCTCTCCACCCTTAGCTCATATTGGGAGATGGGGAGGCTTCCTGGGAGGATTATCTAAATATCCAGGCTTGTCGACTGGAAGTCAGTCCTCAGCTCAGTGGAATACGAGCTGTCAATATTATCTTACACTGTAAGCCTAGCAGCTAATCGTGGAGTAATGAAAAATCCCATATCCCTTTTGGAAGATGACGCGCTTCAAAATGTCAGGAGACAAAGAAAGAAGACGGAAAGTTTGGCAAGCAAAGGACAGAGCTATTTTTAAACATGGGGTTTGTGTATGATGTGAGTCTGTATTTTATTTCTAATCATAATTTAATGAGACACGCACACACACACACACAGGATCCACAGAAGATGTGTTGGTGTATATAAAGCAATAATTTTAGGATTTTGCTAAGAGCAGCAGTTTGGATATTGGATGGTAGAAAGAGAATAAACACCTGATCTTAGTTTAAAGGTTCTACTACAGTGAAAAAAGTTAACACTAAAGGTAAAGTTAAGGATGTGAGCTAAATAAGTTGTAAATACACCATTAACATAAATCAACAGAGATTGCCCACATGACATCAAAGTCACATTGAGGAAAGATTGTGATGCGATTGGCCAAACAACCTCCGGAGGCGGAGTGTAAATGCAGTTGTGTTGTTAATCTACATCTACATACTACACAGGTGGAATAATAATAATAATTGCAGGCCAGTGTTTTAAACCAGTGAGGTAGCAGCAGCTAGCAGCCATTAGCCAGTAAACACAGGAAGGAGTCCCCTCCTCAGTCCTCAGTCATTCGAGAAATGTGTGGATGGAATAAAGAGGAGACCATTACCCAGTCATCGGGGACTACCATCTTCTTGACCTGAGTGATCAGATCTTAAAACAGATTCAGACCGGGCATTAAAATCTGTCCTGAGTGATCTGATCACAAGTTGACATCAGCGCTAGTACATGTGTGATTTTACCCTTCCTGAGATCTGATCACACAGACCACATCCAGCGGTGGTCTGGGTCACATGTGGCCACATCCTTTTCGCTCTAAGGTTCTAAGGCTGTGGGCTTTATACGAAGGACTGCCTTCTCATCTGAACACCTCTGACCCGCTACAGTTTCACAATGACTCAAACGTGTTTTTGTGTTTCCAAAATGTTTATCTGTTTGTGTCAGCTTCCACAATATCAACACTGACCACCACATTATGATACAATTTTTTAATCTTTATTTCTAATTAGTAAAATCTTTCTTCATAGTAGATTTCGCATTGTTTCAATTCATTCAGCCCCCTCTGACTCACTCACTCGCTTTCTCTCTTGGTCGAGCCAACACAAAGACGCACACAAACATTTGTTTACTCCTACTTTAAAACACAATCATTTCGTCTTCGCAAACACAAAGTACATACTTCACGTATCTCATTTACATATAGAACGAGAAGTGAGATATCATCACAAGGTGTCACAGAAGACAGATTCAGTGATTCAAGGTGTGAACAGAAGAACTTGGAGCTCAATACTTGAGTTTTGATCTCTCGGGATAGATCTTAGTATCAGGGCTGAACAGGTTTGCAGTGTGAGCACTGGAGATACATATGAACACCAGGTGTACATAAAATCAGGTAAAAAATCATCTCTAGATACATCTGGATATGAAACACTTTTAACTGCCACGTGTAAATGTAGATTCAAAAAAGAAAGTTGTCTGCACTAGTGCCTCTGCATGATTTAAATACAAGCAGATCATGTGAACATCTGCATTATGTTCAAACTAAAAGAACATTTACAGTGAGATTAATCTGAGTTTGCCGTCTCTCTCTACAGGACATATATATAACTGTCTGTAATTTATCTGCAGGCATGTAAAATAAGAGACTGGAGGAGAGGATTAAACACTTCAAATACTGATGATCTATCAATAACGAGATCATATATTTGTTTAATTTGAGGTGGGATGTGGTTTACGTGACCAGATGTTCTTTAAAAGTTCTGCATCATCTTCATCCTTGGCAGAAAGAGCTGACTGATAATAATCAGATCTACCCTTCCTATTCGTGCTGCTGCAGATGCTTTCTTTGCCACTGTGTCTAGCTGTGGACCAGTCTTTGTCCCTGGTGTAGATATTCATACAGTGTTGTGCACCGTGCAGGTGTATGTCCCCTCACCCAGCTGATATCAAAATCCTTCTGTGAAATTTTGATTAAGGAGCAGAACTGAGATATTCCCCCACAGACTTTTATTCTATTCATACTTTAATTAGCTGTGTGTGTGTGTGTGTGTGTGTGTGTGTGTGTGTGTGTGTGTGTGTGTGTGTGTGTGTGTGTGAGAAACTCTAGTGTGTCTTTGCTAATTCTCTCAGTGGGTCAGTTGTCAAGCACAGCAACCGCGTGGGACTTGTATCTACTAATTTTTGTGTCTGCTCTGTACCATGCGACACATACACAAATCCACTNGTGTGTGTGTGTGTGTGTGTGTTCTAATGCATATCAGTCGTCTTGTGCCTTCAACGCATCAGTACTAATGAGGTGGGAGCAGTGGAATAGATGCCTTTGTTACTGTTTCCAAGACAGCTTTTTGTCAAAGAAACCATGTGGCCACAAGCAGCGCTGAATGACGGCAAAGCAAACGCACCTTCTTCGGTGCAGCAACCGCCAATATTATTTGTTAATAAAAGACATTTTTATTGACAGGTCATTTGGTGGAGCTGTGTCCCTAACATCAGCTGTTGGTCACTAGCATCCGCTAACATCAACTGGGTGTAGGCATTCATCTGTGCGGTCAAACATGTAAGGATATTCTCCATCTTGTCCTATATTTTAAAAGGGGACAGTGTTCAGTTTAAAAAGGCATAGAGGTAATGATGTCTGATCTACTGAGCGGGTCACATGGCTTTCATAGTCATACAAGCCAGTACAGTCAGATTCACGTTTAGCGTCAGCGTACCCTCAAGTTCTGCCTGTATCATTGATAACAAGGTCAAAACACTTGAGGAGCCCTGATATTCGCTGGAGGCAGTGCTGGTGGTTGAATTGTGCAGAAGACCTTCAAACGTACAAGGGACATTCACCATATTGTCATATATTCTAAAACTACACAATATAACATTATATACAGTATGCTTAGAAAAGGATAGAGGGATTGTTGGTCCAGTTCAGTGTAAGGGGTTAGGGTTAGTTTAAGCCATTAGATAATCACCAATGTGTACCGATGGCATCACAGCTCTAAATGGATATTTTATTGCATTTTTAATAACCAATATGAGGGGGCAGCTCATGCTCCGTCCTTGAAACCATTTTCTTTCAAACAACAAATTTCGAACACAGCTTCTTTCCAAAGGAAGGCCACTCAGTAGAGCACATACCCTAGCGAAGACTCAACATTCCCCTTACATTCAGTCATACTGCAATAAACACATAGATATCAGTTCCATAATTTTTTTTCATCAGGATCCATACATTATTCCCTGTCTCTGGCAATGCTTGAAAAAATGCCATGATCCAGAAGTCTGATAGGCTCTTCCCTGACTAATACAGCAAGTTTTGTGTGAATACATCCAGTAGTTTTTGTGGAATCTTCCTGACGAACAAACCAACCAACAAACAAACTAACAGGAATGAAAACATGACCCTCTCGGCAGATGTAATCACTAATATTTTCAGTCGTAGCATTACCTCTGACATCATTAAAGTCCAGCCTATATTCCTCCTCTCCATGAAGGTGATCACAATTTTCCACAATTTTCCACAATCTCCAAACTATGGTGTCATCTAGAAATACTTGTCTTGTTCTATTAATGTATCTCCGTTTCAGTCTGGCTTCAGGCCGAATATTTGCACATATGAACAATACAGTCTCAATACTAGATAACAAAATACACAGCTGCCCTTTTCATTGATATTACAAAAACCTTCGACACAGTTCTTATTTACTGTTTATTAAAACAATAAAACCTCCTCATTGCACACATTTTAATTAACTTAATGCAGACGACAAGTTACTTTCTTGTTGTGCAGATTCTATTTAAGCTGCCACTCAAAATGTACAACCTCTTTCAAAAACAACTTAATATCTTGAAACTGGTCTTTAACTCCCTACATTTTTTCCATTGCTAGAGATATTGACCCTGGTATTTTTAAAATGTGTTCTTTTAATTACCCCATAATAGAGACTGAAATTCTAAATATGCTGTATTTGTGTAAATGAAAAAATACGTACAATTCATATTGAGATGCTGTATTTTTCGTCTCTGCATTGGGATGTTATGTTTGGGCAGCTGGTATCAACCTCAAACCTGTAGCTGCAGTATGTCAGTGCATTAATATTCATCAGTGGACATAGTTATGGGACACACCATTGCCCTCTTCACCAATATACTGGCCTGCCAGCTCGATCAATGAGCACGGATCAGGATTTATTCTCATTTATTTATAAAGCTCTTGAAATGCTGGAAGCGATTTTACCCATGAGACCTGGCACATCCTGCAGGTGCCAAACAATCATACAGATTCGGAGAGATTTGCTTTCTGTTACTATGCTTCTTTAAAACCACCTCATTAACACCACTGAGGCAATTACAGTTTATTGAATTAACTAATTGCGGTTGCATTTAATTCTATGCCTTGTATTTATTCTTATTAGTGGATTATTTATTCATTAATCTCATTGTCAATTTCTACATGGCTAACCCATTTTTTACCCAGTTTTACTTGATTTGGCCACATTTTGACATTACTTGTGTCTGTATTTATTTTGCGGCTGTGGCTCGGGAGGTAGAGAGGGTCATGCACTAACCAGAAGGTCAGTGGTTCAATCTCCTCCTCCTCCAGTTTGCATTGCGAAGTGTCGGGCAATATACTGAACCCCAAATTGCCCCTGAGAGCTTTGCTGGCAGTGTATAAAGGGTGTGATAGAAAAGGCGCTGCTTATAGAAGTGCTGAATATGAATGTTTGTGTGAATGTGATTCTCCTGTAAAGCACTTTGAGCGGTTGATAAGACTAGAAAGGCACTATATAAATACAGTCCAGTTGCCATTGTGTGAATGAAGTTTTCTGTGGTTGCTGATGCAGCCAAATTTGTGTAGGTACCACGTAGTGTTCAGTCTGTCCAACTCTCAGCTGTTTGGTCTAGATTATAAATGATGTATAATACAATATAAAATAATACAAAACAATGTACTTCCTTAACTAGACTAGACTTAACAGAGTGAGTGCAATAACTCCAAATGATTTGAATGACGTCTTAATCAGTCATTTTTTTATTTAAATGGTGTTTTTGTCTCTGCTCTACACTAGTGGTTCTTCCCTGTTGGTGCCAACATGTCCTATAACTGATTTTGTCTAATTATCAATTTTTCTTTGACACTCCTCGGGTCCCTTATCCATCTCATACAATATACTTTCATTAGTATATATTTATTAGTGCATTTTGGGGTAGTTTGTCAACAGGTTTATGTTCTATGTTTTAGACCCAAACAGACACCCTCACTAGCTAATGAACATTACAGAGACTTCTAGTCGGCCTAACATGTTTTTTAGCTTGATTTAAGGAGTGTCCGCATAGAGAATAGTGAGACACAGCAGTGAGAAGCCGATCAGATAAGTTTGTGATGTCTGTTCAGTCATAACTGGAAGGCACATACCATGAAACGCAAAATATGTAACGTCTGCGTCATGTATAATCTGTAAAACAGAACTGTACTGACCAGTATGACGAGAATGTGAAATTCAAACAGCACTGTATAAAATCCCTCTCTTTTCAACATTTACTTGGCCTTTATTGAAGAGGAAATACTAAGCTTTTGTGAGTCAACCTTTGCGGAGACAGAATGGATGTGTCAATGATCCATTACTGCCAGGAGGAGGCAGTGTTGATCTAATTTAGCAGCTCACTCTTTCATCAAACCGTATTCCATGCATGTGTTATTTGAATATTATGTGACATCCATATAGGCTGGTAAATAAAATTTGGTAAAAAAAAAAAACCCAGATTAAAAATGAAATTTGATTTATATTTGATGAAATGGAGAATCATGATAAACTGTGGTGGGAAGTAATGTTAATGAAACAGGTTCGTCAATTTACACGATTACATACATTTATATTGAAGTCTTAGAGAAACATAACCGAAACATAACCAGGATATTTCAAAAGTCAAACTGTGATACTTTGTAAATGGACTCAGCACCAGTCTGTTAACTGTGAAAGTAACTTTTATTTTTAATATTTCTGTTCACATGTATGCATTGATTTACTGTGTGCTGAAGGATGAAACCACTGCCAGATTATACAGTTACTGAAACCTCAACAATTAATTGGTGAGTCTGACTTGGCCCATGTGTTCCAACTAAAGAATTTGTACAGAAGAAAAACACACATGCGCACACACACGCACACGCACACACAGATGCACTATGGTATCCAGCCATATAGCCTATACAGGGGGTCTGGATCAATATCACTGCAGTTACAAGGAAGCCGCTGAGATGCCCTTGGCTTGTCTGTCATAATCTGTCTTTGGGGACACATTTCAGAGGAAAGACCAGTTAACTGGGAAAGCTTGTCCACTTGGCTGTGTCCCCAATTGGTAAAATCTCAATTTGAATGTGTATGAATGCTCTAGAGAGAGATAAGTGAGCACATGGTGAAACCTTGGTGGGTCTCTGGTTCAGTAACTCTTTAATAAAACGTTCTTTATGCTGATTTATGTCAATGCACAGGATCAGTGGCAGTGCGGCTGCCTTGGTATCATGTTAAATTCAGGTTAAAACGTGTTTTTTAAAGCCACTCCGGGGAGGTAGAAGAAAATAAATTATATAACACTTGGCCCTGTTCAAAAGCAATTAGTTAAAAAAGGCTGAAACACCCTTTTCAGCTGAGAGGAACTGCAGAGTTAGTGACAATTTTTATGTGAGTTCAAACTGTGAACTGGGATTCTTCATGTCGTCATGGATGATGAGGTGGGTTCCATTGATATCTTTAGATTAGCATTGTCTTTTTCCATTTTTGTTGGGTTGTTCAGTGCTCAATCTAAACCTGGCTGTTTGGAATGGTCTGATTTCTTGGCCTGTATTAAGGCACTGGAGCTACTTCAGAATTATCCCTGGTCAGTAGTGAGTCCTCCTCAAACAGTTTTACAATATACTGTCAAGTTTGTATTGTTTGTGCGCTGGACATTGTGTTCAGAGCTTTTTATAAATGGTCTGGTACAGGGTGATGTTTTATAAAATGAAACTGTTATTGCTTTATTACCCTTCATGAATCTAGTTCACGTATGAGTTTAAATGATTTACTGAACTGGTGTAATTTTTTTATACATTGCTTGGCGCTTATTTCAGAGGTCTGTTAAGCAACTGACACAATCTTAGTTTGCAACTTTTCAAAATAAAAGCTTTGTAATTCTAGTCAGTATCAAGCATTGAAGCAACAAACCAATGTGATTTTACTTTGAAGACAAACAGGAAAGGGTTCTGTAAATGTATTTGACTTGACAGATCCACCCTTCTGCTGTGTGGTGTCAGTCAAATATGTTGAAATAAAAATAATCAAATTTCAAAATAATTTGATGGTGATTTTGACTCGTGGTTTACCGAGTTACCGACCACTGCTGTTGTTTATGGAACGACATAGAAAAATACACGTTTTTTTATTAATATTGATGTATCACATGTCAAATCGCATCAAGCTCTGCCATTCACTTTCTCTGGCAATTTGCAATACACATGCCAAGTGTGACCCTGCCTAGATGAACAGCATATCTGAGAGATGTGCATTCCACAGACAGACAGAGAGGCTTTTGTGAAAAAAACTCATTTGATCTGATTTGCTTTGGCTCTCACAAGTCAGTACAAGTATAATACAAGTATACAATACTCTCTGCAGGAGAAAAACACTGACCTAAATCCATAATACCTAATGCATACATTAGTTGTTTTAATATGATGCAAAGTACACCTCTAAAAAATCAGTTTGCAAGGATCATCATGAACATCATCATCCTTTACCTCTTTATCTTCATCTTCTTCATCTTCTTCATTTGGCACATCCTGTGATGCTTGTTCTCTGAACTGTCAGTCATTGCTATGTGTGTTTGACTGGCAGCTGCAGGAGGAGGTCGATGGTCTGTCAGATCGGATGGAGATGGCTAATGATGCCTTGAAGGGAGACTGGTCCCGCTGGAAGAACAGCATGAGAACTGACCTCAGATCAGCCTTTATTTCCACTGCAGAGAAGAACGTGGACTACTACGAGAAGGTGAGATGGGTTTTATTGATCCTAAAAAGGTTTACAATTAAGTGCATTTTGAGATAATTACTAATTAAAGAGGACCATGATCCATCCATGCAACCTCTGTCTTCACTAAGACAGTTTATATCCATGGGGAAGAAGTCCTCACAGTTCATCAGACATGAGTAATGATTTACAAGTTCAGTCAAATTTCTCAACATTCAACATACTTAAAAGTCTCTCCTACCTGCATGTAGTAGGAATAGTCTACTTTTAGCAGTGTGTTATGGTTCTTTGTGTTAAGCGGGTCATACACTGTGCAATTGAAGAATTGTTCTTGTTAGGTAAATGGTCTGCAATGAAAAGCCAAAGCTCACGATTTACTGTATGTGGCCTGATCCTCAAATCATGACCTGACAGCTCACACTGTCTGTTACCTGCTGGTCCCTCTGGACCAGTCTGACTATCGTCAAAGCAGAAGTAGTCAAAGTATGTTTTCACGGCGCTAACATGGAAGAAAAGCGCTGTTGACCAGCTATGTCTGTTGTGATAGGAAGAGGAGAAAAGATTGAATAGGCAGGTATGCTGTTGCCACAACTCAACCACTCTGGCCTCTGTGTTTTCTGTCCATATGATGCATTGTGTCAATCATGTCCTGGCTTCACTTTTTGCACAGACACAGTGAGAAAGAAATGGGCTAAGTTTGGGGAACTGCCTCAAGGCAATAGCAGAAGTGCTGAAGATGGCAGGCCAGAATTTATAAAATGTCAAAAAATCCACTGACAACCATTTGGGAGTGTCTGATAGCTCCTCAGTCCCTCTTGTATATTGCACAACAAACGACAAAGCTAGACTTTGGTCAGTGCGAGAGCACGCTATACAAAGTTGGTGGTAAAGAAGATTGAAAGTGGAGTATAGACAGAAATTAGAATATTCACAGAAGTGTACATGTAAGAGTTCAGTTCTTGTTCACTTTCATGATCGAGTTTAATATCCTTATTTGTCACAACCCCCAGAACCCCCCAAGCAATGTAGAATCCATACATGAATTAAAATCCATCCTGCCTGGTTCCAGGATATTCACTTTCTTGTTCACTCTTTTACTCTTTTATGAGGACACTTAGTAGTGAGCAGTGAGAATAAATGTTTCACAAATCATCATTAGTTTTGCAAGGACCTGTGTAACTGTAATTCTGCATGTATAAAATGAAGAGCATTGCATTGGGGGATTAATGATAGGAATCTGTTTACATCCTATAGTCAGGTTAGGGCACCTCGGTTTAAATTACATATTTTGTTGATATTTGGAAAAAAACAGAAGTGAATACAACCAGTGCAACTAATAGACCATGAAATGAGCTTCTTCAAATGTTAATGCCATTGGCAGTTTCTACCATTTTCCTGCCATAAAGGCGTCAGATTTTTAAATGGCAACTGCTTTAAAGTCAAGTCTTTCAGTTCCATCTAATTGGTTTATTCATCTTGTGTGATGTTTCGACTCGTTTTAGTTGGTCACAGGGTCTAAACAAACTTATTGTAGCTTTTTCACCGAGCAATGGATCTCCTTGTAAATTTGTTTGGACACCGACTGCTCATAATTGTGAAAAATGGCACACAATTATGGTATGGATGTAACCTGACAGAAGAGCATTGAGATATCGGAGAGAGTGAGAGAAATATTTAAGTGGGAGACAGAGAGAGAGAGAGCAAACTGCAAGTTGCCGTGTCGAAGAGACAATCCAGATTAAAGACCAGGCAGCTCAGCAGAGACAGCGGGGAATATTGAGAAAAGAACAATGGAGCGAACTAGAAGGAGAAAGCATCACAGCAGAAGGAGAATGAGACAATGTAGTTGTTATGGTAACAGTTGTTTGGTCTATTATAGCTTTTGTTAGTCATGATGGCGTCTAAGAAAAAAATAAGCACAGAAATATGCTTCCACTTTTGATGTATTTTGGTCATGGAGACTGGAGCTCAGCTCAGTCAGCAGAGGGTGGCAGCGATGTGTTCCTCCACTCTGCACAGGGATATAAGGATTTGAAGGTTTGATACATGGCTCTTCTTTTGAAGTGCTCCTGGACACAACTCAGCAGTTTGTGTCTTGGTTAATGTTGGATGATGGTTGGTAGCCATGGAATTACACATTTGAAACTGTACTAATGAATACTTAACATTTAAAGGTACAGTGTGTATTTTTGTGATATCTAAGTGTTGAAATTGCATGTTGCAGCTGAACACCCCTCACCTCACCCTCTCCTTCCAAACATGAAAAAGAACCTGTGGTAGCTTCAGTTGTCATAAAAACTCAAAAGGTGTTTAGTTTGTCCAGTCTGGACTAATGTAAAAAATATGGCGGCCCCCGTACAGACACCCTTGATGTAAATATAAAGTATTTAAATATAAAGGGCCTTTTCTGGGGTATAGAAAACTACAATTCATACAATTTAGATCAAATGAACTAGTGAAAACATCATGAGGATTATTCTACTTTAAATTTCTGCCAATAGTTCCCTTCCACCTAAATCTTACACACTGGACCTTTAAACATTATTGAAAATAATCCAGTGTGCTTTGCTAAGTGTCAGAAGATTGTGTTTTGCTCTTTCGTCCTTCAACGTGACAATGTTTTATTAAAGCTTAAGAAAATGTTTTCTCGTCAAAATGTTCCAGAAAGGGGAAAATAAACAGGGTGTTGCTAAAAATCTGAATTCTTCCTGCAATTGCTATTTCTGAAGAAAATGTTATTTGATGTGACAATTTTGTGCGTGTGTGCGCACGCATGAGTGCATTATTTGTGCATGCGTGCGTGAGAGTGTGCCTGTGTGTGTCCTTGTCATATTTGGGCTCTCTCTCCAGTGTCTCTGTCTGCAGGGGCAGGCCAACTCTCCTGGCCTCTCCCTGCAGCAGGAATGACAAAAACACTCATCACCCAGCACAGTGGCCCACGGCAAACAAATGCAATACATCAAATGACTACTGGTGTGTGTGTGTGTTTGTATTCATATCTTTTTGAAGACCATTTTGAGTAGAGACTTTATGGAGTGAGGACATTTTGGGAAATTGAGGATATTTTGGCCACTTTTTCCAAGGGCTGTTACAGGATTAAGATTTGCTTTTAGGGTTAGGGTTAGGAATTACATTTAAATAACGGTTAATCTAAGGTTTAGGGTTAGGTATTTAGTTGTGATGGTTAATGCACTAGGGAATGCGTTATGCCAACGATAGTCCTCACTAAGATAGAAGTACAGGACTGTGTGTGTGGGAATGTGAAATGTGTATAGAAGCCGCCAAAGGGCACACTGCCACTGAATATGAAGGCATTTTTAATATAGCCAGTGAAACTATTTGTTAGAAAGGGAGCTTTAAAACAGTGATTTAGCCTGAATAATGCATACAGCCATGGACATAATAATAATAAAGGGAAATGAGACTGCCTGCTTTGTACTTGATATTAATTCCTACGACTGAATTTTTGAAAAATGAGATCTCAAAGGTTATTTGTTTGAGGAGTCACAAGTTCTCCTCCACATTACTTTTTAGAAAAGGCCGGAAGGCCCATAGTACACTATTGGGGCAGGGCGATATGACTTGAAATCAATATCACAATTATTTGAAACTTTCTCTGATTACGATTAATGAACGATTATTTTATGACAGCCCCTCACACACACACACAAGTCAACAAGAGACTCGGCTCCTCTGCTCTTTTCTTATCACTCACACATAGAAGTGATCTATATAAAAAGCTGTTGAAGGCATATTTATGTTCCTGGATAAACAGGGCGTCGCTTCTTCTGCAACCACGGAGATAAAACTCCAGGTTGCATCATAATCTTTCATTTCAGTGAATACTTATGTATTCTAACTTAGCTAGATATTTGAGGACAACTTTCCGTTTTTTTACTTGGAGCTGATTGCATCTTGCTTCTCTTCTCTTTTTTTAACACAATGAATCTTTATGGGGTGATGTACGTGTTTGCATATAGAGCAGGGAACTATCATGGGTGGTCTGTCTGATCGGGTTGTATAATCTCCTCTCCTGTGGTCAGCTGTGTATGACTAACAACTTGACAGTAGTAGTGGACATTTACTGACAAAATTCTGAGTAGGATTCCGTCCTGTAGTGTTTATTTGCATATAGAGCAGAAAAGAGAAATTCAATCATAAGTGGTCACTTGGATCACCCAAGAAGCATGTGAGCAGTATCTGTATTTGCCGATACTACTTCAAAAGATCTACGATCGGTTGCAAAAATCATGACCGGAACTACCTTCATTTTTTTAAGTTATTAATCGGTGGTGTCGGATCATGCACCCGGATCGTTCTGGTCACTTTAACCCTGATGTCCTGGCTGAGAGAGTCACATTGCGTTTTGAGTTGTGTGTTTGCGCACATGCAAAATGTTGGACTAATGGTTTAAATACGTGTTTCATAAACTTAAGAGTGAATCAAACATCAGTACTGTTCAGATCCCAATAACTTTGGACGGATAAGTGTTTGTGTTGATTGGGTATGTGTAAAGTTAGTGCAGGTCAGCGGGGGAGTGAGGACATGCGGCAGGGTCATACTATACAGCATGGAACGTAGCAGAAACCCGTTTTCGAATGTACGAATTTCAAAATTACGTTGGTTAGAGATTGAAAATGTCGATTTAGGTACATTTCCGGTTAATTACCCAGCGCTAGCACGCATAGCTGCACTTTAAACTCTGCTTTTGAGACATGTACAAGTACAATTTTACAATAAGTTTTGTGCAAAGGTCATTAAAAGGAACATGGAATACAAAGTCCTCCACTTCTCGTTTATCTCAACAGTGGTTGGTTGAATCGACTGTTAGCTAATCCGTTCAGTGACGGTCCAGAGAAGGCTTAGCATAAGTGTTAGGCAGCACAATAACTGGGTGAGGCAGGTCTGTCAAGCTTTGGATTTGTCCACATATTGAAGCTGGGTGCATGGGGCTGAGGAAAGCAGGATCCTCAGTTCACCAAGGCTTTTAAGCACTGTGACACTTGTGCTGGTTGTGGCAG